CTTCCGCTTCTTGTGGCCAACGTCGTCCTCCGAATCGCCGGAGTCGCTCGCCTCTTCCTCCTCCTCCTCGTCCTCGTCGTCATCATCGTTAATGAAGCCCTTGAGGTTCCCCTGCTCATCTTGGTCATCTAGATTCTCCTCCTCCTCCTCCTCGTCTGCGGGGCAGGAACACACGCTGCAGAGCCCGGCTACTCTGGGGTGTTTGCAAGGACCTCCCCTCTCAGCTCAGCCAGGGCGCGGGGGTCCCCGACCTACCCCCTTCCCGGGCGCTGCCTGCGCAGAGAACCAGTTCTGGGGCCCTGACGTTACCCGCGTCTCCGGCGAGCAGCTGGGTTACCCTCGCTGGCTGCCCCAAGGGGGCCCTTCGGAACGACAGGGCGCGGCCAGGCACGCCGGAACCCCCTGCTTCGCCCTCCAAGCCCAAGTGCATCGACTCTCCCCGCTGGCTCCTGGGCCCGCTCACGGGGCCCTCTGGCGAGGGGAGCGAGGCTGGGGGGAGCCTCCCCTCGAGCAGCGCAGCAGGTGACTTGGCTGTTGGGAGTAAGGAGCACTGGACACTCCCAGCCCGCCCTCCTAGGCGCTGTGCACCACGGGCTTGTCGCGGCTCCCCCACCGACCCGGGGCGCTCAGCGAGGGATCACACCTCCACACCGGGAACGGACGGACTCAAAGGCTTCTCTCGTGGACCTGGCCGACAGACTCCGGCCGCATCATGCCGGGCACAGGCCAGTCTCCCCGCAGCGGGGCTGCCAGACCCCCCCGGCTCCACTGGCAGCTTCCCAGTCAGCAGGGACACACAGGAGAGTGCAGCCTTAGCTGGCCTGGGGCAGGTTACGCCCCCAGCCCTGCGCCCCTTGCGGTGAGGAGCCCTGGCCTGGCCACCGAGCCCCGCGGCGACAAGCGCACTCACCGTCTTCCTCTTCTACAAACTTCTTGTTCGCTCTCGGGACAAGCTCCCCCTCGTTGTTGTATTCCTCCTCCGACTCCTCCGCCTCGCTCTCCACAAAGTCAGACATGGCGCCGCTCCTCCCTCCGCTCCCCCACAGCCACCTGGC